TGTATCTGGGATACAATGTGATGATCTCACATGTGTACATGTATCTGTGGGATACAATGTGATGATCAGACATGTGTACATGTATCTGGGATACAATGTGATGATCAGACATGTGTACATGTATCTGGGATACAATGTGATGATCAGACATGTGTACATGTATCTGTGGGATACAATGTGGTGATCTCACATGTGTACATGTATCTGTGGGATACAATGTGGTGATCTCACATGTGTACAGGTATCTGTGGGATACAATGTGGTGATCTCACATGTGTACATGTATCTGTGGGATACAATGTGGTGATCTCACATGTGTACATGTATCTTGGAGACAATGTAGTGATGTGACATGTGAATGTATCCGATACAGTGTGGTGATCTGACATGTGTACACACTGGGAAATCAGTGTATCATGCTGATGAATGTATCCATGAATATGACCTCACACCATTTTTGCGGTGAGACTGTTCCATATTTACACCTTTAGGAATTTTGAAATATGTGCATTTCCATTACCCACAGTCCCTGTCCTATAAATACATCTCTCTGGCAGCCATTGTGTGTCATTATCCGTGCCTAAAGACCTTGTATTCTTGTTGGAGACCTGAGTACAGGAAGCTGTCTGCTAACTGGGTAACTCACTCCAGACTGTCACAGGACTGGAAAGTGACTTCTGCTGGTTTTCACATAGACTTGTAGGGCTGCTTATGACAGCACCCAGTAACTGTCATCAGTAAGTTTTTAAAAGTTCCACATTCCTCACCAAATGCCACAGAAATCTCCAGGCTGGGGAAAGAAAGCAAAGCTTGTGGAAACAACGTACAAAGAGAAGATTCAGACCCCTCTAGGATGTCCCCCAAAGGTCCCTGTGTCAAAGGCTTTGCTCCCAGCTTGGAGCTACTAGAAGGTGATAGAACCTTGGGGGTGGGGACAGGGAGAGGTGTCAGGTCATTGAAGACCTGTCTTTGGAGGGGTTGTGAGACCTTGGTCTAATCCTCTGCTTCTCTTTTGCTTCTGGGCCTGAGCAAGCGCTGTCTTATGATATGCCCCAAAGCAGCGTATCACGGATGGAACCTTATAGAGCTCACCCCCGTGATCTTAGCACTTGAAAGGCTGAGGCAGGGGCATTTTGTAAAGAAGCTGAGAGCTATTTTGTAGCTGAAGTCTATAATGGAACTGGCCAGAATGCAATCTCTCTCTATTATCAAGGGGTGGGGGCAGTACACTGTCGCCTGTCTTAATAACAGTAACAACAGATATTTACACCATAAAATGCGTAGAGAATACCGTTTCATCAGCAGTATACTCCCTTCTACGCATGGATGTACAAAACCGCAGCCAGCGTTCACTGAGCACCTATCTTGTCCCCGGCATGCTGCTATGAGCTCTTACATGGGCGATGTCACCGAATCCCTTTAGAAACCCCACGAGGCCGGCTTTATCATCGTCGTCATTTCAAGCAGATTGCAGTAAGAGGGATCCAAAATCCCACAGCCTCATAAAGGCTGATTCCAGACTCAGCTTTCACGGGGAGGGTTCTGTGCTTTGGTGGGAAATTGCTTTTTTTTAAAAAAAAATAGGATTATGGGATTCTGAATGTAAGGGAGCAATTTTACAGCAGCGTAAACTGTGGGTGGCTGATGGCAGTGCAAAGCCATTCTCTGCAGACACAGAGATGGATTTTGTAGGCGGAGGGCAGTCTGCCCCACTGGGGACAAGCATTTGTCTGTTTGCAACTGTGATGCAATGCTCCTCCTCTGGGTTTCTTCACAGCTGGTGGTGACACCTGCCGACTTTTCCCGTTTAGTTGAACAACTAAATAAGTTCTTTACTAGGTGCTCATTTTGTATCACTAGGAGAGTTAGCATGTTTGTTTTTTCATGTCATTTTTTTTTTAAAAAATTATCCTTCAATCGTGTTTTGTTTGTTTACTTGCTTTTTGAATAGTTTAATTTTTTTTTTAATCATAGTTGTGTGTGCACATGGAGGTCAGAGGATAAGGTGAAGGAGCGAATTAGCTCTCTCTTTCCACCTTGTATGACCTGGAGATTGAACTCACGTAGCCAGGCTTGGCAACAAAGTGCCTTTACCTGCTGAACCATATTGCTGGCCCTTTTTGTTTTTTCTCTGAGGCAGGGGCTCAGGCAGCCTAGCTCTGCCTCCAATCCATACAATTTGTTTGGCTGGGGTCACGTGGGATAGTGAGAACGTATAGAGCCATCTGTTTGGTAATCTGGGTTTCATGGGTTTCTAAATCGGAACATTTCCAAATGGTTCTCAGAAGGCTGATTTTGCCCTTTATGGTCCAGATATTGTGGTAAAGGTGGCCAACTAAGTGAAATGGTAACTCATAAAATAATATGCATCCGATGCCCACAGTTTGACAGAAACCCCAGTCACTCTGTGCTCACTGGGTAGAATAAAGGCACAGGCTGGTCTGGGAATCAAATTGCCAAAAGGAGGGAAGGGCTTAGCAGGCAAGCTTTAGAGCAGCCTTTCCTGCCATGGGGAGGGGTAGTGGGGACTCTTGATATGCCAACCCTTCTGAGCTGGGATAGGTTCGTACAGGGCAGAGAGGAGACTGCTTAAATCTTGAGCAGATGTCTATCGGGTTGTACAGTATGTGAGACCTTAGCCTAAGTCACAAGGTGAGAGAACATATCTTTATGCCTCTTCTCAGTTGTTTCTCCCATGCCAAGGAAAACACATCACCAAAGAATGCCATTCAAATGACCCGTGGGAAATGTACCTTGCTTTCACTCTCATTGGACAGAATTTCCAGGGCTTCCAGATGTGACAAACCTTGATATTCATCAAACAGCATCCCATAGTGTGCAGTCCTCTCCACTGTGAGCTGCTGGGCCAGCCTCTGCTTCTCCTTCTCCTTGGCTTCTCTCAACATCTGCAGATACACAAAGTTCATGTACTAGACAGGCCTTTCCATGTTACCTTCCTGTACAAGATATGGAGGCCATGGGGAGGGCAGATATTATATGAAAAATCACTTTCATCACTTTGGAATTTCTTAAAAATGACTCTTTGTAAATAGGTGGTCATAGGTTCTCCTCCATGATTTGTGAGCTCGCTAGCTCTGGGTAGTTGGTTTGGTTTTCAGTACCAGGTATAATCTCCATCTTGTTGAGAGGACCTTTGGTCCAGTGAAAAAGATGTTGGTTACTGCCAAGGCATGTGTGCCACTATTGGACCCTGTCCCATGCTGGTTATTGTTTTAGTTCAGAGGCATCACAGCTGGGTAGGACTAAGGGTTGCTTCTTTCCCTTGGAAGTTTGCATGCTACCTTAGGATACCATTAAAAACTAGCCCTCGAGGAGTAGGTTTCGGGTCCCCATGAAGTCTAATAATTATGGCTGCCTAACAAAGACATGAACCGAAATGACACCAATAAACATGCAGATGTGGAGGGAGGATGGTCACGGGGCCTCAGCCCTACACAAGGAACTCTAAGGAATGCTGAGGTAGAGAAACAGTCTTCTCATGGAAGAGCCTCCAAATTAGGCTATCCAGTACCAAATGGTCGGCCCTGAAAATGTATGCCTACACGTGACTTTATATAGGCTACGCAGGTTGTGTTTCTATGTTTGGAAATTATATATATGAATGTATGTGTTACAGTAATTAAACATACACAATATATATATATCATGAATTTGAGAGGAAGTAAGGAGTACATGGGAAGGGTTGGAAGAGGAAAGATGATGTAAATATAATTTAATCTCAAAAACTAAAAATACATTTTAAAAGGATGGTAAAAGTAGACACTAGATTGATACTGTTGACTAATATTTACATATGTTCAGTTCTAGTTTTTTTTTTTTTTTTTGGAGGAACCAAACAAAGCAAGCCATCCATGCCTAGGAGTAGGATTAGAAAGAAGCATGCAACAGCTTCCTCTGCTTCCCACTGAAGTCTTTCCCCTGCGTACTTATTTTCTAAATGTCCAAAATTTTCTACACTGACAGGCTTTCGAAGCACTGCATTATAAAGTGGGGGTGTCATCACCAGACGGATAAAGTGAGGACCTGGACGCTCCCAGGTGTGGCTGAGGAGAAGAGTTTCATGTAGATTTGAGGGAGAGAACAGCCATGGGCATCTGGAAATGTCCAGAGCATGGACAGAATGTAGGAGACCAAGCTGGGCCAGTAGACTGAACCCAGTCGTGAGAGGAGAGAGAGGAGCGGGGAGAGAGAGAGGAAGGAAAGAGAAAGAGAGCAGAGGAGCCAGGACAAAGAAAACCAAGAGCTAAGAGAGAAAAAAAGCTAAGCGAGATGGGGCAGAGGCTCAGGGGGAGCAAAGAGAACAGAAAGAGAGGAGAGCAGAAATGGCAGAGTTATATAGGAATGAGAAGCTGTGGGGAGGGGAAGCCTGTGGTACTGTGGTTAGGGTGCCGTGTGTGTGTGTGTGTGTGTGTGTGTGTGTGTGTGTGTGTGTGTAAGAGCTGAGAGGAGCCACAGGTCCCGAGTGAGCCTGGAGGCCAGTATGCATTTTAGTATGCTAATAGGTATCAGGGTTAGCCATGTGTCCTGAGCACTGGAAAAAGCCAATTCTTTGTGAGGGTATTGAGAATTCTGCATCCAGGCAGATTTCAAACTAGAAAGAATCTAGTTTAATCTTGCTCTGTTACATTTTTGGGTTTTTTTTTTTTGATTTTTGTTTGTTTGTTTGTTTTTTGTTTGTTGAGACAGGGTTTTTCTGTGTAGCCCTGGCTGTCCTGGAACTCACTCTGTAGACCAGGCTGACCACAAACCCAGAAATCCACCTGCTTCTGCCTCCCAAGGGCTGGGATTAAAGGCATGTGCCACTACTGCCCTGCACTCTGTTACATTTAAAAAACAACAACCAACCTTCTGTATATGAAGATGAAAAGAGTTAATAAATGTAAATTCATAATGTATTCACTAGCAGGCACTGACTAGAAATTGGCTTACAGACGCTTATGTTGGGCTCCAGAGGAATGTCTTGATCCTGAGTTTCTGTTCATAGGAATCACGTCTCTCTTTCTGCCTTTCCCTCCCCCTTCCTTTCTTTTCTGCTATCTTCTTCTTCACTTCACTTCCTCTCCCCTCCACTCATCTACACTTGCAGTGTTAGGGCTAGAACCCAGGCCTTGTGCATGCTAAGAAAGAGACACCTTCCCTTAAGCCCCTCCAATTATTTTGTTGTTTAAAAACAGAGAGGACAGAACATCCGTGAGTCTGTCCATTATTAACAACATTCTACACTTGCTTGCTTTGACGCTAGGCCTCTTTTATTTGATTTCTCATTAACTTTACAAGGACATTAAGTTTATGGAGTCCTTTAATATCCTGCAGAGAGCCCCATAAATACGCAAGCCAATGCCACGAGGTCACAGGGGGAAGACCATCCAAGAACAGAGGCTGGTGTTTATTATGTGCCAATAAAACAGGCAGCCTCATTTTCTGTTTGGGTTCTTGAGGTTGTTAGCCAAGAACCCACTAGGCTGTGGAAGGAATTCTTTCTCCTGTCTATCTTTAAGACTAAATTAGTAAGTCTTTGCCTTTTACAATTTTCAAAATAACACAGTGGAGCCCTTCCTGGGAAGGTTTAACACTTGTAATAAAACACAACTGGCCCCCTGACCTCAGGGCATTGGGGGATGGGAAAATAAAACCAAGTGGTCCTGGGATGGTGCCCCTTCTCAGTCCCAGCATCCTCTCTGAATCACTACTTTGGGCTAAAGTGAAGAGATAAAATGGAAAGGAGAGCATCATTAAGCAGACGCTGAGATTTACTTGTAAGTGAGGAGTGAAAATCAAAGCTGCCCAGGAAACCAGCCCCTTACCCAGGCGGCTGGTCTCAGTGTGCCTCTGGAAAACAGAGGCAAACGGCTTAATTGGAGGGAGTGCTCGTGACGTGGAGGGACTCTCACACAGGGCAACATGGGACTGGAACTGTGGAAGAGGAAACGGTGGAGGAGGAGAACCACTGACCACTGGATCGTGTTCCCTGTGCTACTGGAATAGGTGTGAATGTTCCTGCTGTCTAGAACCAGATACTCTACAATCTACTTTTGCCCACGGTGTGTCTGCAGTGTCTGCCAAAGGCTATGTGCTTAAGGCATGATCTCCAGCCCATGACACTAGTGGGAGGTGGTAGAATCCTTAGTAACCCAGAGAGTGGAAGTTGTTGGGGGGGTACCCTTGCAGGGATATTGGGAGCCTGGTTCCTTGGCCCACCCCCATGGTTCCTGGCCACCGTGAGATTAACAGGTATGTTGTTTCCCAGAATCTTCATTCTCATGTTCTGTCTCAACACAAGCCCCGGAGCAATAGAGCCAGCTGACCAGTTATGGAATCCTCCAGAACAAGGAGGCCAAACAAACTTCTTGTTTACGTCAGGGATTTTGCCACAGGAACAGAAAGCTAATGTAATATCTTCAGTGTATCAGGAAACACTGTAACAGACTTTCTTTTTGAGGGCTCTTGTTAATAGTGGCTTCTTCCCTCCAGTTGCTCTGAAGACCTTACAGCCACCCTAGATAATCCTTTTGCCTCAAAGCCTACACTTACTTCATCAGGAAATCTGAATCTGTTTCCAACATACTGATAGCTGGAGGGACTTCATACTGTTCTGACCCAACTTTATCTCTCACCTAACACAGCATCTGCTTATGGGGAGGGTGACAGGGCATCCTGCAGACCTTCCTTCTACTCCAAGGAGCCTAAGCGACAAAAGGCTCTAGCTGTTGGTCAGTAAGTCCATTCCCCAACTCCCAACACGTTTCTCTGCCATCTTCGGTGCTGTAGACACCAAGGCAGGCCTGCTCCTGAGACTTGACTTTTTGTCCAGAAGACATGATGTTTTTTAATTAGAAGTTTATTTTAACTTATAATTATGTGTATGTGTGTGGGGAGGGGTGTATATTTACACTTGAGTGTAGCTGCCACAGAGTCCAGAAGAGGGCCTCCTTACAGCCACCCTGGAGCTGTTGTGAGCTGCCCAACGTGGGTTCTGGAAACTGAACTCCAGTCCTGCAAGAGCAGCAAGTGATTTTAACCACTGAGCCATCTCTCCAACACGGGAAGAATTATTATGTTTTACTTTAAAGACATAATAACTGTGAATAAGAGGAACAGCATGATCCACGGATGTATGTATGTGACATGTAAGGACTGATCTAGCCATCTCCTTAGACACTGATCACTTCCATGCGTTGTGGGGAGCCACTGAATCTCTCTCTTCTTTATAAAGCATGTAATAAATTGTGGTGAGCTAGGGTCATCCTGCTGCCATCGGCTGCCATCACTCCCTAGGGCCCTCACCAAGCTCCTTAAGCTGCACCCACAGTCTGGCACACTTCTGCTTGGTCTCCTCTTTGGTTCTCCTCCCCTGGATTCTGATATGAACCAGCTCTGATGGTTCCCCCAGGCTTCAGAAGTTCCTACCCTGTTTTCTCTAATATAGGTCTTACCCCTCCCCTACCTCCCGACTAAATAAATCCCTGTCTGTCTCCGCCCACCTTGCCATCTACTTTCAGGAGGAACAAGACTCATCCAGAGTTCCACTTATAATGTATAGCAACATGTGTCCCCCTACACCAGATGTTTATTTATCACTATGTTTATTTATCGTCTGAATGGCTTTCCTGGCACAGGCCCTCCCTCCAGCTCACGTGAGTCCCTGTAACCGTCCGAATGCTGTAGCCGTTTCCCCGGTTCATTAACAGCCCTGCAAATGCCCTCCGTGGTCTGCCAACGACTGCAGCCATTGCCGCTCGTCTCTCTTCTCTGACAGCTCTCATCCTGGTATCTCACTCTCTTCCAACGTGTAGCATCCTGGCTTGCCCTTGTGGGCTCTGGGTGACACACTTCCGTGCATAGTACAACCCTTTAATTGTAGCTAGCCTGCAGCTGTGACAGAAATAGCCCAGGTGGCCCCCAAATACGGTAGCTTGGTAAATTAACTCAGGCCTTCTCTTCTTTTTACAACGAGGGTAGCTAGAATTTGCCAGTTTTTAAGACTCAGTCTCGTTCTCTGCAACCTTACCATCTTACCTAGAATAAATGTTACCTGTGGGCTGACATATCTTTATTGGTTCTGTTCTAGCTTGTGTAACTGTCACAGCAAAGTTATCAGGAGGTACTGATGTTACCTCAGTGCACAGAGGGAAACTGAGGCACAGAGATGGAAAGCAAACCCACGAGGTTGTACAGCTGAGAAGTGGCGGAACTGGGGTATTTACAACAACATACTTGCATGAGTCTTCGAGGGATTAGTAAATGAATAAAGTAAAACATGAAAGTATGATCATGGTTGCCTTTGACTGGAGCGTGTGTGTGTGTGTGTGTGTGTGTGTGTATGTGTGTGTATGGTCCACTTATAATGTATAGCAACATGTATACTCCTGTACCAGATGTTTATTTCTCACTATGTCTGTATGATAACCGATAGCATGCATAAGGGACCATTAACCTTGCCGGTCTCCCACAAGGACTTTGGCGACAGTGTCAGACACTCAGCTTTCCTTCTACTCCCTCTGTCACATACGTTTGGACATGTGCTTTGACTTTTGTTGAGTGAAAGGAGGAGAAAAAAAATCACTAACAGGTCTAGTCTCACCTGGGACAAGGAAACCGTTCTCTCCATCAGTGTCTTGGTCCGCTTAAACCCCGGGTCGCTTTCTGCGAGGACATTCATAGTTTTCTTGCCAATGAATTCTAAAGCATCCAGACCTCCGGTTAAGACGCTTTTGCCCTGCAAATGAGAAAAGCACATCAGATTGGATTTTCTACAGCTTGCTGTTTGGCAGTGACCAGCAGTTCCCAAGTACCCAGCATTCTCGTCAAATATTAAAACAAATGGAAAGCCACAGGTTTTTCACATCATGAGATAGATCATCTATTTAATCCTGTTTTCTTTTCCTCAAAAAACCATATGTTCTATAATTTGTAGTGCATGTGGTATTATTAAAAAATAATGTTGGGGGAGGAAACAGTACACATTGGGGGATTCATGTCAGTAGTTCTGAGCATATCAATAGATGTGTATCTAAGTCACAAAATTAACAGATGACCCGATTGTCATGTTTGAAAGAGTTTTAGCGTAAGTAACAGAATTATGTGGGGGTGGGTTATTAAAATGTCAAATGCTCATGCTAATTTAGATGATTTTTTAATCCAGGGCCCCGAAGCCACGAACCCTCAGGCTGTTTCAGATGGTTCTTGCATTCTTTCAGAAACTGGGGAACACTAACTATAATTACCACATTAATGAAGTAAGACAGTTAGCCTTCCGTGTACTTCCCGTTTTAGAAACTGGTCTATTATCCAGGTATCACTCTGGAAAAATCCCTTTGCCAGCCATTGCTTTCCGTTTAACAAAAATTAAAGCAACCAAGACTCACATACACTGTTCAAATAAACAGAACCATATTGCTCTGAACCCTCCAGCCATAATCCCAACAATACAACTCTAACTACAACCCCCATACATCTGCGTGTTTCTTACCTCCCATGAAAATGTTAGATTTTATTTTTAGATCATCTATTTAATGTTCATAGTCATTTAAATGGCACATTCTATCTTACTGAATGAATGATCTTTATCAGACATCTCCATTTTGGGAATTTAGAATTTGTTTACAAATCTGGAGCCCAATCAAAACTCACACTTTGGGACAGATTTAAAGGGAGGTTATGGGTTCAAAATAAAGTATCCCTCACCATCCCTGGCTCTCAGCTAGGACTGTTAATTCAGGACATTCTACGCACTTCTGGAGGTAGAGCCTAGTTAGTGGAAGTAGGCCACTTAGGGGTATACCTCAAAGGTTACATCTGGTCCCCAATCCCTCCCTCTTTCTCAGTATCCTGGCTGCCAGAAGGTAAAGAGCCCCCCATTCTTATGTATTCCCACCACCATTATGTCCCGTCCAAGCACTTGGGACCAGGCAACCATAGACTAAAGCTTTTCAAACCATAAGCAAAATAAATCTCCTTCCCTGTGTTATTTCTGCAAGGCACTTTGTCCCAGCAGTGATAAAAGCAACTAGCATAGAGGACGATGGGCTTCTCAGTAGCTTACACGTTCGCTTGCTTTGATTTCCTCCCCCCTCCCCAAACATCCTGTCACTACAGGAGAGAATTAACAGAGACTGGGAAGTATCTGTGCACTGTTGGGCAAGCAGCCTTTGGATGGGCTGGACTGTGGGAAGGAGAGCAAGCAGGTTCAGGAGGATACAGGAAGAGGACTGAAGATGTTGGGGGCGCACTCAAGATTCGATTGCTCAGGGCTGGCAAGATGGCTCAGCGGATCAAGGCAGTTACTGCATGAACCTGGTGACCTGAGTTCCATTCCCAGAACCCACATAAAGTGGAAGGAGAGAGGTGACTCCACAAAGTTGCCCTCTGACCTCCACACGTGTGCCATGGTATAGGTGCCCTCTTACCATACGCATACACAGTAATCATGTATAAAATCATTTTTAAAAAGGGTCGGTGAGAAGCCATGAGTTCACTTTTTACATCTGAGCTTCCTCCACTCTCATGGTGACTTTGAACAGCTCTGCTATGTGACTCTTAACACTTTCCTGATGTGCCTCCTTCTTCCTACCCAGTCTAGGGTCCCTGAAGGAGCAAGTAAATGACAGTCGTCTCCTTTATTCCTGACACACTTTTGTCCCAACATTTGGGTAACATAACCTATGAAGCCATTCACAATCCCCTCCTCTCCCATAATGCATCACACCCATTGTTAAATTGCCTTAATATGGCCATCAACCTATGGCCAGAGTCCCTCATACACAGCGAGGGTCAATTGTCTCTCTTTAAAATAACAAATGGATAAATGATTAAAAAGGACATGAGCCATATTTCTAGAAAATACAGTTAGCTTGTTCTACATAGTAAATTGACACCTTTCCTCCCGGTGCTGAGGAGAGCTGGCTGCCTCGTCTCACGTGTGGTACCTCGGCTCCCTTTCAGTGTTTGTTGTCAATAGCAAGCTTCCTCTAGGAGTGAGATGGCTGTGTATCTGTTTTTTTTTTTTAATCAAATTAACTTAAATAAAAGTGAATAAAAAAACAAAGGAAAACTAGGACTTTCAGGGGTACATTTAGGGTTCTTCAGGGAAGGTGCCAGTCGGGATCAGAAGGGAGGATATGGCAGGATTGGTCTTTGGGCTATTCCCCCTGAGTTGTTACTAGTTCTTTTTTATTTAGGTTTCACAATTTTAAGAGAACTGAGACCTGATCCAGGAAGAACAGCTGTCCCAGCTCTGAGTCTCCTCCCTCACCTAGACACTGTCCTTGAAGCAGCTGGAAAGGACACTGTTAGATCAGATTGAAAAAAAAAAACCCTCTAAATCACTCTCTTCTTTTACACACAGACCGCATTTCATCTTGCCCTTACGATTTCAGATCCAAGGTTACACCTACTCTGTGGCAGAAAGCATAACAAACTGTAATCCAAAGTCGGGAGCAAGGCCGCCTTCTCTCTGATGTATCTGGGTCACGAGCTGGAAAGATCAAAAGAACTGAGCCACTAGGGAAAACAGGGGAGGCTGCTAGGGACTCACCGTGTTTTGAACCACGTTGGTAAGGGCTGACAGCATGCCCCTAGACCCTGCCGCCCCTGGTGGAGGGGGACTGTGGGGGCCTCCGGCAGGGTCCTGATCTGGAGTCACATCTGTCATGACAAGAAAGAATACCCTAGTTAGAATTCCCTTTGCTGATCTGACCTTGGGCTCTTTCCCACTGTGCAGTCGTGCACACGGGGTCAAAAAAACACCAGGTGAACACGCCCACTCACTTTCCGAGATGTCGTTTTCGGCATCAGTTGGGGCTCCTTCAGGAGATCCGGAATTGACACTGTGGATTCGTAAGGTTGCTCCTGCCTTTTCTCTGACTGCTGTTAACCCATGACCTGTAAAAAAAAAATACATAGTCCACAGAGACATTACAGTCTGCACAGTCTGTGACCCCTGGACTAATCTCACAAGACCATCTGGCCTGTGAGAGTCCACCCTGAATAGCAGCAGGGTGTTCAGATTCCCTGGGATAGGGCCCAAAGATGAGCTCAGCATGGTTAGGCTGAGTGACCTTAAAGCCACTTTCCTTTCATGACTCAGTTTCCTCACTATGTTCCCAGAGCCCTTTTGGCTTCTGCCTTTCACGGTGGCTATTTTTCACACTGAAATTCCAAACTCAAGTCTGTGTCTTTGAAAGACATGGCTGCCATGTCTTCTTCCTGCTTTTTAAAGTGTCATATGGCTGATATGCCATTCTCTTTTGGTTGCTGTTGGCTTGTTGAAGTCCTAGCACATTGTAGGTGCTCAGCTAACAGTGGCTGAATTGAAGTCAGATGACCTTCAATACGTTTCTATGTGTAAACCTAGGCATGGTGGCACATAATCATAACACTCAGGAAAGCTGAAGCAGGAGGGTTGCAAGTTTGAGGCCATCCTGGACTGCATAAGATTCTAGGCCAGTGTGAGCTACTTAACAAGATCCTGTCTCTAAACAAAATGAAGCCCTTCAAACAAACAAACAAACAAACAAACAAACATGACACTACATTTCCTCAAAAGTACCATGAAAGGTCTTGAGCTGGCAGCTCTAAATCAAAGGGCCAGTCAGTGGGGAAATTGGGAAGGAGTACCAGTCCAAAGTAGGCTGAGGGTCACTGGTTTTACTCCATCGGACAAATGACACCTGTATTTCCAAGAAGGGACAGTCTTTATTTCCAAGACACTGGCGCAGTTGGGATTCAGTAAGGAGTACAGAACAGACCTTCCCACTCAATGGGCAAGAACTAACCCTTGTCTTAATAGAAGAGGTCTTCTATTTCATCCAAAGACAGATTGACACCCTGCACTAAGATGAGGTAAACCTTTCTTAGGAGGAAGGAATCAAAACACTGGTAGACCACTGTGGTCCTCGTGGCTACTGGAGTTTTGGAAGGAAACACAGCCTGTGCTCCCTCCATCTGGGAACCTGCTACCTGCCTTGGCATATAAGGAGAAAGGAAGGACATCTCCTGGGACCCTGGGTTGTTCAAACACAAGACAGTGGTGATCATGTCAAAAGAGGACCCCGGAGCTAGCTGGAACCAGTCAGAATTACAAAGCACTGTTCAAATGACTGCTCATCCATCTCCCGAGTTAGAGGAAGACACAGATGAGTCCATACTCAGAGTCATGTTTTGGACCTGATGTCAATGCATAGAACCCATGTGAAAATCTGGATGTGGTGACATGAATTTGTAGTCTCAGAGCTGGGGACGTAGAGACAGGTACATCCCTGGGGATTGACATCCAGCTGTTATAACTGAATCAGTAAATTTCAGGCCAGTTGAGTGATGATATTTCAAAAGGCAAGGCAAGCAGCATTCTGAGGAATAACCTTTGGCTTCTGAGGCTAACCTTTGGCTTCAGCACATACTCACACACATGCACACCCATGTACAAACAAACACACACACACATAAGACGCTGACTTATCAATTATAGCCTGATTTACCAAAGCAACACAAGGCCATGGTATTTACTGGTTCACTCCAACGAAAGCTATTTGTCATCATATATTACCTACAAACCCCGAAAACTTAGGAAACATGATTTACAGTTTTAATTACAATAGAAATATGTGCCTACACTCATGCAGATAATTAAACACAGCTCAAACTCATTACTGAGTTACTCGAAAAAACAAACTGCTAAGCCTAAGACTTAATTATAAGCTTTCAATCTGACTTGAATTAATTCTTTCTAGAGCCTCCAATGAATTCCAAACATTTCAATGGAAACTCATCGAAATTTCAGAGACCATTTAAGTCATTGACTTCATATTCTTTAAGGTAGTTTAAAAACAACAACAACAACCACACAGATTTTCCAAAAGAAGACTGCAGAAATTTCCACCCTCGATTCTCAGCTATAAATTTCTGAGAGCCAAAGTCAAGGAGTAAGTGAGCTCTGGAGGCATCGCTTGCTCAGCGCTGGGGCTCAGGGGCTCTGACACTCATTAGCTCTTTAATATTCTGGGGCCTTACATACCCCTCATTGACTTCCTCCACAGTAGGTTAGTCTTGTCTGTGTCTCTGTTGGGAAGAGCAGCTTCTCATCATCCCAGAACACAAAGGAAGGACTGACCAGTCTGTAGTCCCAGCACTTGAAAAGCAGAGAAAGGTAAGAGACTAGCTTCAACCACCTAACAAGTCTGAGGCTTGCCTGGGCTACACTGTCTCAAACAAAACAACAAAGGGAAGAGGAAAAGCCTCCCAAATGACCACAGACAAGCGTGCATAAACTGTCTCTAGAGCTATTCCTTTGTTTTGGGAATGAAACATAGTTTTTATGTGCATGCAACTAAGATGTGTTTAAGCCAACATGCCACCACAGTGCTATTTTCTGATTAACACTTCTAGTTTTTTTGTAAGTAAATGAAAACACTTTCTGAATTTTCCTAGAAATTCAAAGTTAAGCTTTAAATTTACTTAAAAGCTGTGATTTTTTTTTAATAGGTAGAGACTGCCACACCCTTCCTAGCTGAGCTACTTTCAAAGCTTGACTTAGTGTGACATCTAGTGCCCAGATAAGGAAATCATAACAGAGCCACTGGTATCTTTTTTTTGACTAATGACTCCATTTCTAGAGATGGTGGCTGGCTTCTATTAGCAGGAGAAAGACAACAAATGTGTGTGACACTGTTTGGTGTAGTTTGTGAAATAACGTCATGCTACCACAAACTCTAAATATCCTAAAACATGGAAGGTTCTGGAATCCACAGGCTCTGAAGCTGGGACTGGGTCTGGTTTTCAGGCTGCAGTAGGTGAGTGCTGGAAAGCCAAACCAGAAAAACAACAAACTCAAATCAAAACAAGAGGGCAGGAATGTCACAAGAATGTCGCAGGACAGTGTCCTTTAAAAACATTCCATGGTCATTTGGCTTTTTAATTATCTGTGCTTATATGATAAATGAAAGCAATCTAGACTGAAATCTGCCAAGGATGTTGATCCCACCATTTCTTAGCTGTGTGCTGCTAGTTACCTAATTCACTCCTGCGTCTCTGCTTCTGTGCTTTCTCTCTGCCAGGAGAATTATAATATCTACCTTCCATCAATGTGTGAAATCTCTCTACTATGGACAGCTATTGAACCTTTAGGATATCCCAGTCAGCGTATTGAATTGTCTACTTTTCTTAATAACACTGTGCAAAGAGATGCATTATACCCCTTCCATAACTGAGAAAACCGAGGCCTATCAAGAGGACATCATCTGTCAAAGGTCCCAAAGTTGGTAGGTGGGAGGCAGGATTCAAAGCCAGTCCATCTGATGCCAGAACTAACATGGATAATCCCTTTGACATACTAAGGGAGTTTTATAGTCGAGTGTGTTCTAACCTTGATTCTCTAACTCCTCAGAAGTCAGGTCCTTGGTCAGGCGCTTCTCTAAGACACTTTGATTTATGCTATCCTGAACTTGAGTTGCTTCACAACAAGAGCAAGGTAAAGTTCATGTTCACAGTGTGGCCTGACTCTGGCTCCCTTGTCCCAGTCGTGCTTTGCAGGGCCAGGGTTGATGTCTGGAATCACCCCTGTGCTGTTAGATGTGGGGATGCTGTTGGGTTGGGGCTATAGGGTATGGGGTGATACCACACCCCCGTTTAACTTTCTTCTTAAGTCTTCTTCTTGTGAGCCATATCAAATCCAAAGGCCCAGCCCACTGGGGGAAGGATGAGGCAGCGCACTTGTGGAGGCTGGGTCTCTGACCAGTGGTAACGCTGAACAGCGACTTGGATGATCAGGTAGCCCAAGGCCGTTTCTGTTAGTCATATTTGCCAAAGGCAAGGGCTGCAGCTGTGACATGAGGAGGATTTTTTTCTGTCTAAATTCCCTTCTTTTAAATATATTTCCTTCTTGTAAAAACTGATACATACAAAACAAACAGACAAAAATCCCATAAAACTGGTTCTCTGATTTATGTGGCTGAATTTTCTCCTAATATTCTGAGGGAAATGGGTATAACATAAAATGTATCCCCTTAACTGCTCCAGTAGACAGTTTCATGGACCAGACACATCACTAATGTTCATTTCCAGACCTCTTTTGTACCCATTAGGCAGTAGAGCCTTCTCCCTCTACCTAACCAGAGCCTGATATCTCTGTTTTGCTTTGTGTCTCTCTGATTTGGATTACTCTAAGTAATGTATCCAAGTGGAATCCCACAGTGCTTGCTTTTAGTGGCTGGGCTTGTTTCACTTAGCATAACGCCACTCAAGGTTCATCCATTCATAGTGTGTGTCAGAATCTCCTTCCTTTTTAAGGTTGCATAATATTTCACTGTATAGACATACCACGCTTTACTCATTGGCAGATCTATGGCTTTGTACCTACATATTACTGTTGTAAATAATGGCAGTTTGAACATGGGTATACAATAACTCACTGAGACCTTACTTTCAAGCCTTCTGAATGTATAACCAGAAATGAAATAGGCAGATCACATCCTAACAGCTCCTTATTGCTGTGTATATTTTGGTTGTTAGTTCCTATGTGCATGGTGAACCATCCTTTCCTCTAGGTCTTTGTTCAAATATCACATTGTCAAAGCCTACCCCAGCACCCTTTAAAAACTTCAACCTACATTCCCAGTAACTCTGATCTTTTTCTAATTGGTAGACTTTTAGAGATTTGCCACTTCCTGGAACTCTACATAATTTTCCTATTCAGAGAGTATATTCTCCACTGGCTTTTTCCTCCCTCTTGGGGGAGGGAGCTTTGATTCATTTGCTCAGCACTCAAGTGACAACGGCAGCACCCAATACAGTAAGTAGTCACTGACTGGCTTCTGTATTGAACATCTGTGCACACATACATCAGTGAGCTTTGCAAAGTACCAGCAGAGTGGGCTGGACTGAGGAATGAGCACTTCATATGTATGGAGAATGCCAACCCCCCTTCTGAGAGAGCTCACTTTACACTCTTCTTGGGGGCAAATTGTAAGAGTAGCCATCTAAAAATATTGACCTTGCTGCAGACTTCTATTAATGAATTCAAGGCATAATAACAAGTAGCAGGATGTAGGGTTGGTTTTTTTTTTTGCTTTTTTTTTTTTTTTTAGAAAAACATACGTGAGGCCACCATGCTCAAATAAGCAAACCAAATGCAGCTTTAAAACTGACAGTCAACTTTCTTTCTGGAAAAGTCTTAGCTCTCTAAAATGATGGCCAAGGTTCTCTGTAGTCAGGGTTAAGAATAAGTGCGACCGAGCCGACAGTGCTTGCATCAAAGCCCACCAGAAACCCATCAGTCTTGTTCCTGAGGCAGAGATTTCAAAGTGCTGAGGGAAACTGTAGCATCAATCATCCTTTTCATGGATGAACTGTGATGCTTATTCTTGGTTGTCAACTTCACTACATCTGGAATTAACTAAACCCAAATGGCTGAGCTCGCCTGTGAGATATTTTCTTCTCAATGAAACCCTTTGAAATGGGAAGACCCACTTCTAATCCAGATCTTTTGTGGTGGGAAGATCCATCTTTCATCTGGGCTACACTCTCTGCTGGTAGCTTATATAAAGGACATGGAAAAGAGAAGCTCTCTCTCTCTCTGTTTGCTTGCCAGTCCTTTTGTTTGCTGGCATTAGAGCCTGCGTCTTCGGGATTCTGACGTATACTGAAAACCAGCTAAGACATCCAGCTTCATGGACTGAACAACTATTGTATTTTTTTAGCCTTTCATTGGTAGACAGCCATTGTTGAACTAGCTGGACTACAGTCTGTAAACCACTTTAATAAATATAAATATATATATTATAATATATTTATAAAATATATATATTTATATAAATATAATATATATGATATACATTTTCATATATATATGGGATGTACATACATATGCATATATGTGTGTATATATTTGTGTATATATACATACACACACACACATATATATTCATATTAGCTCTGTAAGTTCTATTCCTCTAGAGAACCCTGACTAATACAGGGTTCTCTAAAATTCTTAACCCGTAGGAGTTTTTATATCATCAACATCACTTCACAATAGATAGATAGATAGATTGATTGATAGATAGATAGATAGATAGATATTCCCTTTCAGTTGATGTTACATTTGTACAGAGGGAAGTTTTCACAGTAGCACAATTTTGATGCATTTGCCATTCTTTGCAATACACATTGACACTATTTGGATAGGACTGACAGAGGGTGTCACCAGAATGTGAAAACTTGCAACCTGGGCAAGGATGGGAAAGGACAAAGAGTGACTTTGAGAAAGAAATATCAGATACATTCTATTCCCCAACCAAATACTCTGGCATTAGATATTTGGAGTCAGAATACTGTCACAACCAACTTTTCAAATAAACATTTAGGCTTTCGGTTGATCTAGTAACAAATTCCCCGTTCTGAGGTTTGACTCAGTTTGACAGATAGATCATCCCTTTCCTCTTAGTTATATATTCTAAAGGTAAGTCATGTCTATGATTTGCTTGTGGGAAATCATTGCTGATTTTCATGATATTGCTTTGAAGTTATCAATATTATCCTTTATTGGGCCCCTTTTCTGTATTTTTAAGATTTCTCCCCTTGGATTTCTCAATGGAATGACAGATTTTTGTTGCATGTTGTGAATTTTCCCACAGGCATGTGTGGCGGGTGATTAAGTCTTTTCAGACTGTGACACAGTTTGTCTCTGAGTGATGAAAACATCTTTTAAGAGCGAGGGTCCCTCAAAGAACTAGTGGCTGAAGAATGCTTGGTTCCACACAAATTCCTCTTAACCTTAGACTCAAAGCAATATGCCAAAAGACAAGGCAGGACAGTGCACAGGAGTTAAATGCAAGTCTCCTTGCTATACAGTTCCGCTCAGCACAGGGGCTACATGCATACAGTTCCTTCTACAGGTAACCATGAAGTGAAAGCATCATTTTCTAAAAGTGGGAAGAGACCTTGTGCTTTCTCAAGTATCCTTTTTTTAAAAAAAAAGATTTATTTATTCATCGTATGTATATGAGTATACTGTAGCTGTCTTCAGACAAACCAGAGAGGGCATTGAATCACATGGCTGTGAGCCACCATGTGGTTGTTGGGAACTGAACTCTGGACCTCTGGAAGAACAGTCAGTGCTCTTAACTGTTGAGCCATCTCTCCAGCAGCACCTCCCCCTCCTCCTTTTCAAATAGAGAACTTGGGTCTCACAAAGGGTAGCTACCAGGTGTAGCTATCGTGTCAGTTTCATACTGTGACAGGTCGGAAGTACTCAGGACTGGGTCTCTATTCTTAGCACTCATGGTACAGTGTTCATTTCAAGACAGTACCACCTTCCAAAAGTGTCTATTCTCTGATTACTTTCCTGCAGACTGTAAAGGCTTACAACCACCACAACTGCAGTGTTTCTGCCTTTGTGAGTTAAACTTGTGTCTCTAGTGCAGTTGGCAGCTCTGTGTAAAATACTGTATTTCTCATGCCTATCTGCAACTGAATTACCCTGTGGGTGACATGAGGCTGGGAATGGAAATCAATAGCAGTTGAATGTGGCTATCTACTTTCTTTACTTTCTGCAGGCAATCTATAAACCTTCAAGAGCATATCCATGGCTGGGAATGCCCTGCTTTCTAACAAGTTTCTTTGCCCCTTGATGCTAAACTGTTAATGCTACAAAGCCCTGGTATTGATACTTTTTTTCCTGGATGCCATGGAAGTTATCCCCCATTACCGTTCTCATTACTGGGAGGTGATGAAAGGGGCCTATGTGGAGGTATTAAGCCTCATGGAGTGTGTTCTTGGAACTGCTCTGTCTCCCTCCTGCCTCCCTTTGTCCTGCCTCTTGTCTTCTGTGTGGTACAGGAGAGACTCTCCTCTGCCACAGGCTCCTGCCACCATGGTGTTTAACCTCATCCTGGATGCAGAAATACTGAGGCAAAGGACCACAGACTGGAGCTCTGAGACTCTGAGCCAGCATGTGATTTTCCCTTTAAGTTATCCTTGGGTATTTTGGTCACAGTGACACAAAGGTCACTATGACAGGCCACTGCTACTATGTAGAGCTAGAGCTATACCATGTATGGACCACAAGTCTATAAAATATGCCTCGAGGGCAATCCATGAGTGGCACTTAGTGACCAAATTGGCAGTGGTGTCTTAAGAGCAGTAGAAGAAATGAGTACAATGGGGTAGACCAGACTATATTCCTCAAGTTTATGGGGGACATGCAAATGTCACTGCACAAAAGCACTTCTTGGCCATATGAGAGAGTAGGCTAGGTAGTGCTGACTGTCAACCTGATCAGCTCTAGAATCACCCAGGAGACATTCCTCCAGGGACACCTTTGAGGGATTACTTATGTTAAGTTAGTCTCTGAGTAGTCTATGGTGGATTATCTTGATTAAGTTAGTTAAGGGAAGACCTGTCCATTGTGGGTGGCTCCATTTCCTGGAATGTGATCTTGGACTGTATAAAAAGGAGAAAGCGGACAAGCAGGATGGCTCTCCAGGTAAAAGTTCTTGCCACTAAGCCTGCCGATCAGAGTTCAATCTCCAGAACCAGCACGGCGGAGGGAGAACTGATTCTTATGTGTGACATGCTTACTCTTTCCCCAATAAGAATAAACAAAATGTAATACAATTTTTTTTAAGAAGACAAGGGGAAAAGCGGATGGAGTACATGCATCAATTGTTCTGTGCTTCCTGACATGGATGGAATGTGACACGTTATCTCAGGCTCCTGCTGTCATGACTCCTCTGTCACGATAGATTGCACCCCAGAACTGTGAGCCAAAATAAACACTCTCACCTTAAGTTGTTTTTGTCAAGGTGTTGTGCAACAGCCACAGGAAAAGAAACCAAGGCTGTGGGGATGAGGCACAATCCTGATGCTGGCTCATGGGCAGTATCGTAAGGTCTAGGCTCTCTTGGATGAACTGTTAGGCTGGGACTGGGGGTGGGGCCACTAGCAGGGCTTTTGTGCTGCTGTGAAGGCCGCAGGATACTGTACTTATCATCTTCGTGGCGCCTCAGGTAGAGGGACTTCAAGAGTACCACCAAACACAAATGGAGGCAGCAGCTCGAGCACTGAATGCTCAGGAGGCCCGAAGGACAGAGTGTAGTGTGCACAGAAGTCGCTGCCTGCTTTCTAAGCACAGGCATCACTGGTTAGTTCTTTTGGAGAATAAAAGAGAGTGAAGTCATGGCTAGACCGTTTCTCAAACAGACAGACAGAACATCAAATGACATAAAACGAACACTACTAAAGTTGGATGATAAACACATAACTTAAAGAATATAGCAACCTAGGTGTGGTGATACACACATGTAATCTCGGCACTCAGGAGGCTGAGGCAGGAGAATCACAAGTTCAAGGTCAGCCTACATTAGACAGTAAGGCTCAATTCTTAAAATTGTGTGTGCGCACTTGTGTATTTGTGTATATGTACAAATATGTGCATACATATGCATATATCTGTATCTTAAATCTATATTTTAATGGATAATACAAGATGGTGGTTTAAAACCACATCACATGGTTTTCAAATCCCACACCAAACAATGCTGACTTGAACAACGTCCTAGTCTCTCAGTGGTTCAGCTTTTTTATCTGTAAAATGGAGGAAGAAAGAATATCTCCTCACAGAGTCATTGTGAGGAACAAACACGTTAATATATGAGATGCCCTTAGAGCAGTAGATATCGAATGGATTTCTCCTGGGCAAATGGTAAACTCCATCAACATGTGGCATGTCCAAATCTCTTGTTCTGTCAAGCTTCTGAACTCTGTTCTGGTGTAACACCCAACACTTACCCACTGTGGCTGATGCAGATGAGAGCAGAGATTTGCCCCAGGACCCCCAGCCTGCCCATCTTCCTGCCTGTGGTGAGGAGTCCACAGCCTGCAGAAGAACAAATTAGCAGCAGCAGGTCAGATATTTGCTTTGCCCCGAATGGAAAAACATTCATTCAGAGAAGCAGAGAAGGCTCAGTAACAAAACCCACCACCCCCCAACTGCATCTCCCAGACTTATGGTTTATACTGGTCATAAAAGAGTATCTTGACCTACGCAGCAGTATGTACTTTGGAACCAAACTGAGTAATGGAGGTGTTGGGTCCTATGGACTTGGCCCAATATGAGGAGGGATCTGTAGTCCTCTCAGTACATGAAAAACAGTGACAAAGGATGCCAGGGGTGAGGGGTCAGGGTGAGGGGAGTGGCAGAGGAGAGAGAGAGAGGGGTAACATATTAGAACACAAAAGTGATTCAAAAAACATTTAAATAACCCTGGTTTAGCCGATTCTTACAAAGCTAATTAAATGTGCTTGAAAGACAGAGTTAACTTTCAGACTTGTGGGATGAGGTGGAAATGCTAGTGTGGTTGGCAGATAGTGGTGTCCAGCATTGACTGAAGGCATCAACTAGTCTGGAGAGAGGTGGTGGCAACAGAAAGCTTTGTGGGATTTCTGTATTCAAGCTGTTGGCTTCACTCAAATGACCCCTGCAACTCAGCCCTCACCTGTAGGGATAAATATGTTCCTGGCTTGTCATATTCTGTCTCCCTGGTTTCTGAACTATGAATTGGAGACTGTGGTTTAGTGTGAGTTGCTTGTTTCAACATAATATGAAAATTCAGGCATGGCGGACCATCCTATTCTATTCACCGAGCTAGTTAAGGGAAAGCAGGGTATGCAAGATGGCGGTGCACCCAGGCCACTGCATAGACTTCCAGTAGTATCTTAGATCTGGGCTTTCTAGTCTGAGGACTGGCTGCATTCCCAACTTTGTGTTTTAGAAGATTCCCTCATTGTTTTGCTTCCCTCCCTGCCTTTCAGTATCTCTCTGTGTCTCTCCGTGTCTCTGTCTGTCTGTCTGTCTGTCTGTCTGTCTCTCTCTCTCTCTCTCTCTCTCTGTGTGTGTGTGTGTGTGTGTGTGTGTGTGTGTGTGTGTGTGCGCGCGCGTGCGCATGTCCGCATGTCCTCTTCCCTTTCTTTCTGGTCCTGGTCACTAATTCATCCCTAGCGTCTAAAAGAGTGCCTAATATTATTTGTTGGATAAATGCCTGAAATCCGTCCATTTTCTTGCATAAGAATGCAGTAGTTTCTGTTAATCTCATCAAGTGAGTCCTGACTCAATGGAAGCACAGCTTTCTCTAACTATTCACAAACTGGTCATAGAAAGCAAAGGAAGAATATATTGACTGGGAGTAAGCGTAGACAAAGTAAGAGAGATTCTTTTATAGGAAGGGAGGGAGGGAGGAGAGGAAGAGGCCTATATAACACAGATTCTGTAACTCCGAGGCTGGCCATCAGTCACCCCCAACTCCATTTCCTCTGCAGTCTCCCTTGCAGATAAGGGTTGTATACTGATAAGTTTTTCACAAAGACATATATAAATGGGGAAGCTTTTGCTTTTGTGATAAATTTTCAGTTATGGTGGTTGCCAAGTCTTCCTCCTGTTCTGCATGTGGAAATGACACTTGGCAGTGAAGGGGGGAAATTTGCTGCCTCCGGGAAAGGTCAAAGAATCCCTGGTCCTGATGCTGATGGAGCGCTGAGCCAATGCCGGGAGCTACTTGTCCCCATCTTTTGTATTACAGAAGAAAATACATCGCTGTTCTGTAAACCACTATGTGTGGATTTTAGTTATTTGTATCTCGCTGCATTCCTAACTGATTTACCCAGTAAATATCAAATACCATCCATTCAGCAGAGAGATGCGACTAATGGAAAAGGTCACAGAATTGATTTGCTAGGGTTTGAGTCAAGGTTCTGCCATTCTGTGCAATGAATTACTGAAGCTCTTCTAAGCCCCCACTCATTTGTTACAAAATGCAAGACAAGAAGACAGAGGAGAGCTCTCAGAATTGGGGGAATACACTCAATGATGTCGTTGGCTTTTGTAAAATTGTACCTTGAGTATATGCAATGAAATTTTACATGCATAAAAGAGCTCTCAGAGCCAATAACCCCACAGGTCTTGAGAAGATTAAAATTATTTCATATGAATTTGTCATATAAACACTCCATAAATGTTAGGTTGAAACACCAGCTTTAAGGTTGTGCAGGAGAGAGCTTGCTGTCAGTTTTTCCTTCTGTCTGGAAACAGAAAAAGACTTGTCAACATGAGCAGAACGCCCGTGACTCATGACTGTCTGGACTCGTTTGAGGTGTCTACATTGATTCGCCCCATTTGGCAATAGAATCCAGTAGCAATTTTATACTACCAGGAAAACAGATGTAAGTCGATGACTAATATCATTCTTTCACTGGGCCAATCACTGCCTGTGATTAGAAAGAACAATACACTCAAGGGTGATGGCTTCTGACTCAGATCTACAATATTGACTGTGCTCTGACAGCTGGTAATTGGCTAGCAAATAAAACAGAAAGTCAAATGACTCTAGAACTTTTTGCTATGCAATAAGTGACTATTTCAATTGCTTTATTAATAAAGTCCTTGATATTGAGCTGGAACTTCTGACTAATTACAAGGAATATCTATTATTAATAGAAACTCCTCAAGTGCCTACACATTTAACAACAACAAAAAATAAACTAAATAAATGTTAACCATGAATTATATATCTCATCATAAATATTATATCCACTAACTGGTCATTATGTGACACACTTAGAAAACTGTAAAATAGCAGCATAGGTCCCATGAGGTGGCTCAGGGGGTAAAGGTACTCGCCATGCAGGTCTAATGACATGAGTTAAATTCTTGGAACCAGTGTGAAGGGAGAAGAAAATAACCTTCTCCACAGAGTCCTCTGACCTCTACATGTGTGCTATGGCATATGGGCATGTGCAAACACACACATACACATTCAAATCAGAATAAAATAGGCAGAGTGGATCAACCTGCTTCTCCCATTATTAAATACTGCTGTGAGGCTTTGTTTCTCATCTCTTACCTATGTACTTCTCACCTCCTTTAACAGAGACCTTTGTGGCCCAACTCAGAAAGCAGAAGGCATCCTATGAGAACTCACTATGGTTTGTTTGTTTTTTTTTCTCCTTCCCATAAACTCAGAAGAATGACCTTGTATAGTTGGGGCAAATCAATCTTGGATTGATCAAGGACATCTAAAAGAGATGGCTCAGCAATTAAGAGCACTGGCTGCTTTTTCAGAGGTCCTGTGTTTAATTCCCAGCAACCACACAGTGGCTTGCAACCATTTATAACTGCAGACCCAGGGGATCTGATGCTCTCTTGAAGTCTCTGGGCATTAGGCATGCATATGATGCACAGACATACATACAGACAAAACACTGATATACATGTAATAAATAAATAAATAGATAGATAAATAAATAAAAATTAAAAAAATCCAATTGGTCCTTTGAACATTTACAATCATTGTGTGGTCCCAAGAATATTTAACTACGGAAGATTCCATCAAGTTCAAAGTTCCTTAAATAGAGAAGACATTTAAATACCTAGTATCCCACTTAGCATCAAATAAAAAGTACTTTTTAGGTTGGATCTGTGGCTTAGTGGTACAGCAATCATCTGGCTTGAGCAAGGCCCAAGTTCCATCCCTAACACCACCAAAACCACTATCCAAATGACCACATCGCTTACTGAGGCTGGAATGTGGCTCTGTCACAAAGCATCTGTCTAGCTTGTGTGAGACTCTGAGTCAGAGCTTCAGGGAAACAAATTATTTATTTAATTTAGGGGAACAAGTTCAAAACTATAAATAGATACAAGGTAAAAAAAAATCTAGAGGGGCCTGTCAAACACAGGGACCATTCACGTTTGGATAGAAAATATATATTCCTGTGTTAAGATAAAAGACCGATCTGGATGTCCCCATCCCCAAGAGAGATGAGGAATCGGGTACCGTGTTTATCTCATACTAGGGAAGTCCGTCATTAGACCCACGAGACCAGGTCTTCCTGTAACTCACAGCACAGATACCCTGGAAGGAGCCTCACTAGATCAAGGAGGCTGCAAGCTTTCCTGAGTACTTGCAGCTCTGTCAGAAGGTCTGACTCGCAATGGCCTCAGTTATTTCCAAGTAATTTTCTTCCCTCATGGGTAAACCTTTTCCAACTCTGGGAAGATTTAAAACTTGTATGTGGAAAGGTTAAAGGACCAAAGGCATGCTGCTAATGTTTTTTGTGCACATTTGACCTTTTCTGTCCTACTGATATTTATGAAAGTTAACAGGGTCACAAGGTTTGAAAACCAATTTACAATGAATAGCTGAATTATCACATCACACACTTTAGCTGAAATGGTCCACATTTAGGAATACTGTATTAACATTTAGGTCTTTAAGCCCACTTTATACATTTAATAGCTTTTATAACAATTATTAAGTACTCAGCAAGGTTTTCTAATCTACAGATGAGGCACTTAAAAAGGAAATAGAATGTATTACATTTAAAACATTCAAGTTGGTAAGAAAAAAAAGTATCAAACGTTAAACAAATTTCCCTAGAAAGCGGCTGCTTAATTTTGCTGGGCTTGTACGCAGAATCATGATTTGTGAGATGAACATAAATCCTAAGGAAGAATTGAGTGTTTAAAATTTCAGTCTTAATAAACTAAACACTATTTAAATCAAATTAAGCCTCTAAGTAGATCTTTCTATATACAATACACACATCAGCTTACACCAAAACCCATCTAAACCCAAATCGAAGGATACCCAAGTCAACGGACCACGGTTTCATTCTTCTGTTGTCATGGAAACAATGTCATCCTTTTAGTTACCACTGTCCTTACCACCTAACACCACCCCATCCCGGGCTGGTTCTAGGTCTCTTGGCTTGAGGTCTCTTGGCTTTGTCTTTCTCCCAACAGTGTCTTCTCACATTCAACTATGCCCACGGTGTCTCCGTCACAGCACCTCAACAGGAATAAGGGGTTTCTTTCAAACCTCT